TATGGTCTAGTGTGTAAATTTGCACTAAATCATATATTTTCGAAAGTTGACAATTTTGATTCAATCGATACATAGATGTATATGTATCTTCTTCACTTTTGAAATGAAGATATAGTTAAAATATAGTCTTCATTTAAGACTGATAATGAGTTTAATATCTTCATAATGTGTTATACAATGAATTAAGGTCTCGTTTAAGGTAGAATTGGTCGGAAAACAACTATAACGACAATACAGTCGTTATTTCAATGATATAACGAATGTAAAATCGTTATAGATGTTTTTCGACCAATTTATTTAAAAAAGAAAAGTATATCGAAATGTGCACTAAATCACGTTTTATATTAATGTAATTAAGTTAATCACGTTTAAATATGTTGTACACCATATATGGTCTAGTGTATAAATGTTCACTAAATCATATATTTTCAAAAGTAACAGTTTTGATTCAACCGGTACATAGATGTATATGTATCAAGTAGTAACACTCTAGAACTTCATAATGTAGATAACCGGTGAGAGACAGTTTTCATACTATTCATAACCGATTATTTGACCTCTATGTGTTTTTTTCTTCTTAAAAAAAAAATTCACTCAATAATAAATTTTACAAATTTTTTATATAACTTATAGTTTATAAAATTTATTTAAAAAAGAAACGTATATCGAAATGTGCACTAAATCACGTTTTATATTAATGTAATTAAGTTAATCACGTTTAAATATGCTGTACACCATATATGGTCTAGTGTGTAAATGTGCACTAAATCATATATTGTCAAAAGCAACCGTTTTGATTCAAACGGTACATATAACACTCTACAACTAATAACACTAAATCACGTTTTATATTAATGTAATTAAGTTAATCACGTTTAAATATACTGTACACCATATATGGTCTAGTGTGTAAATGTGCACTAAATCATATATTTTCAAAAGTAACAGTTTTGATTCAATCCGTACATAGATTTATATGTGAATATATGTTCTAGAGTGTAAATATGCACTAATTGAAGTTGACTGATGCAATTTGCTAATATATTTCATATGCGAGTAGCATCAGTAAACTTCATAATGTAGATAACCGGTGAGAAACAGTTTTCATACTATTCATAACCGATTATTTAACCTCTATGTGTTTTTTCCAAATGTAAGGGTTCTCACGAGTGATTACCTTTGATGTGTCTCAGGACTATAAGCAATTCAATTTATTACAATAATTTTCCAATAAGTGAATATATTGCAATTCAATTTCTAAATCGTTTAACTATGATTGTAAGCAATTCAATGTATTACAATCATTTTTAAAATGTGAATATATGCTTTACACCATATATGGTCTAGTGTGTAAATTTGCACTAAATCATATATTTTCGAAAGTTGAAAATTTTGATTCAATCGATACATAGATGTATATGTATCTTCTTCACTTTTTAAATGAAGATGTAGTAAAAATATAGTCTTCACTTTAGACTGATAATGAGTTTAATATCTTCATAATGTGTTATACAACGAATTAAGGTCTCGTTTAAGGTAGAATTGGTCGGAAAACAACTATAACGACAATACAGTCGTTATTTCAATGATATAACGAATGTCAAATCGTTATAGATGTTTTTCGACCAATTTATTTAAAAAAGAAACGTATATCGAAATGTGCACTAAATCACGTTTTATATTAATGTAATTAAGTTAATCACGTTTAAATATTCTGTACACCATATATGGTCTAGTGTGTAAATGTTCACTAAATCATATATTTTCAAAAGTAACAGTTTTGATTCAATCGGTACATAGATGTATATGTATCAAGTAGTAACACTCTAGAACCTCATAATGTAGATAACCGGTGAGAGACAGT